ATTCTATTCTATTCTGTTCTGTTCTGTTCTATTCTATTCTATTCTATTCTATTATGAGAAATAGCCACATGGGAAAGAATGAAAACTTTTCCAAAAGTCTTATTAATATAGATTGGGGCGGGGGGGGGAGAGGGAGGATAATTTGATATTATTGTTTTGAACAGAGAGATTGCAAGGATAACATACTGTTTTGTTTTGTTTTTGCCTATAGCCTAAACTTTTGTCACGGGAATTATTGGATTTGGTGGCTTCACATTTCAATCTCAAAGAAAAGGAATATTTTGGGATAACATTCATAGATGATATGTAAGTACATCATGCAGTCATTTTTTAACCACTTGAATAGTCAAAATGTATAACTGGCATTTCCAGATTTATTTTTAGATAATATCATAGCCTTCAGTATTTTATGAAGTTCTCAAACTATAGAATTTGCCTCCTGTTTGCTTCTTTTATGATTGTAGCAAAAATATTGCTTTCTGGATATGCATAGTGTTATCTGCTATGCTTTTTATTTTGCTTTATTGTTATATTATCCAGCTCAACTTTTTCCAGGTCAGTCTAGGTCAGTATGGTGCTAACATTATTTATATATTTCAGACACCTACTAAACAGCATTTCTTAGGGATTACATAGCTTTTCCCAGCCTGATATTTGGATTACAACTGTCAGACCTCAGCCAGCTGGCTCGCTGTTAAAAGATTTTTGAGTTGAAGTCTATACATCTGGAGGACATTCAGATTGGGGAAAACTAAGCTAAATGCATTCAAGAATTGGAAGGGACAAGAGGCTGGTTAGATAGTTCTCCTCCAATTATTATTTTTCCACTCCAACTTAATTTCCATGCTATTTACACACATAGGATTACTAGTCGATGTTTCCCTCCTCATATGCAGAGATTGGGGCAGGGGGATTCTACCGGTTTAACAACCAGTTCGCTTCATGTGAATGTGCCTGATGCATGCTGCGTGTACGTGCGCAGTTTACAGGAAAACAGCTGAGGAGCAGCAATCCACTGTGCTGCGCCTATCAGCTGGGCTTCAGAAAAGGGAATATAGGTGAGTATAGAGCAGGGGCAGGTGGACAGGCCCAGCTGAAAGTCGGAGTGAACCGGTTCGCTCCCAGCTGATAGTCGGAGTGAACCGGTTCGCTCCCAGCTGATAGTCGGAGCTACCGGTTTGCCCTAACTGCTCTGAACCAGTAGAATCCCACCTCTGGACTGGGGGAAGTTTTAGAGCAGAGAAGATGCAGCCACAAAACAATGAAGCACTATAGAACATAGAATGAAAGGGATGGAAAAGGCCTCAGAAGTCTTCTAGGCAGGAAATCTTATATCATCCCAGTCGAATGGTTGTCCAGTCAGCTTTCGATAACCTCCAATAATGGAGCACCCACAATCCTGGGAGGCAAGCTGTTTCATTGATTAATTGTTCTCCCTGTCCTAAAATTTCTCCTTACTGGTTGAATCTCTCTTTAACAACTCCCTACATTATTTCTTGTCCTGCCCTCAGAAGGGGCAGGAGAATAAGTTGATGATTCTTTGGAGAATAAGTTGATGATTCTTCTCTGTGATATCCCCTCAGCGGAGACAGTTATCACATTCCCCCAATCGATCATCAAATTTGAGAATCTTCCTCAAGTTTCTGTTCCAAAGTTTCTTAGTTTTACTTGTTATACATACAGACATGTATATGTATGTAAGCAAAATAAATTGTATGCATATTTGCATATATTTACTGCTATGTGAATGATTGATTTCCTGTTGCTGGATGTTCTCAACTTTTCTATAGATAAATCAGTGGTGGGTTCCAGGCCCCGTTACAACCAGTACACTGCAATGGGGCCAGGAGTCTACCACATGCACACACGCAGCGCGCACATGCATAGCCACTGCCTGCGACGCTCCAGCTGCTCGGCAGAGCATCGTGCAGGCGGTGTAGGTTCTGTGCGTGTGTGCAAATGGCCTGGTTGGGTCAAATACAGGCAAGGAGAGCGGGCGGGTGAGCCCACCGGAGCACTGTACTGGAACGGTACCTGGTGCTCCCAGCAGTACTGGTATGCCTTACCGGGGTGTACCCGCAGCAACCCACCACTGAAGTAAATTCTGTCAATAGATTTTGTAGATGTTGGTGCATTTGCTTCTATTTGAGAAAAAGTTCCTAAAAAGCATAAGTCTGAACGCAAGAGGAAGTCTCTCTTCATCTTAACAACATTCTAGTTTAATGTCTATTGATGTTACATTCCTTTTTATGTTATTTTGATTATGAACTTGCAACCTCCAGAGGGCAGTCAAATCCTATTTTTAAAAAATTCTATATTGTAGCAGAAAATGCCACTTAAACTTTTTCTATCAGGCAAAGTGTGTGACTCAGTGAAACAGATATTCTTCAGTCAAAGCACCGATGGATAATAACAATACACTTTAATGGTGAAGGCTTTCTTTCCCTTGTGCTTATTTTTCTTCTTAAAAAAAAAATCTATAAATTCACTGTAGGCCATTGCAAAATGTAGGTGTGAAAAGAACAAATGAAGATTGAATCACCATTACATACCTAGTGATATCCAGATAGATTGGATTCCAACTTTTTTCATATCCAGTTAGTGATAATGAGAATGCCGAATTCTTCTGGTGTAAAAAAGGTAAAAAATAAGAGTCCCTGCAGATTTTACTCCACTGGTTGTTGCTTACATCTCTGATTCATTGAGCCAGTGATGTCCAAAGAAATTTCCGCAGTCATGTAGCCAGCATGATGTCATGTAGCATTATTACCCTCTGACTGAAGTGGTACTTATTTATATACTCACTTTTACATACTTTCAAACTGTTAGGTTGGTAGGAGCTGGGGAGAGGATGGGTGCTCACCCCATTGCATGATGCTTGAATCTCAAACCTGGGGTGTTGGCTTTCCAGCTGACAAGCCCAATATTTTAACCACTGAGACACTGTACTGCCCTCTAAAGTATGTGAGGCTATAAAGAAAGGCATGGATTTTGCTTTCCTGTTGGTTTTGATTTAATAATATGCTATAATAGGACTTTGAAGGCTGGTAATTCCTTTGCTCAAGAACTTAAATCCTAATTTCCTTATTTTCATGAAGACAGCAATATTGTCAATCAGTTATTAAGAGGGGATTAGGTGGTACTTACAATTTGGAAACCAGTTTTTAAACATTTGATAAAGTAACCAGTAACTGATTTATTACATCTCGAGATTCTGATCACATTTGGAACTAGTATATAGAATTGGTGCATCTTGCATTTGAATGGACAGTCGGCTGCCACTTTAGACTTTCTGAGAAAGCTACACCAATTACATGTGTGGCAATTACTACTCCTATATATCATTCTGGCCCCTGTTCACAATCCTACAGGTAGTCCTTGATTACAATCATAGTTGAAACTAGCTTTTCCATTGGTAATCAAAGTGGTCATTAATGACTCATGTCTGATTTTATAACCTTTTTTGCTGTGGTTGTTAAGTGAATCACTATAGTTGTTACTTCAAATCATGTGGTTGTTAAACAAATTCAGCTTCTCCCTTTGACTCCCTGTCAGAAGATGGCTGGAAAGATCACAAATGGTAATCACGTGACCTAGGGATGCTGCAATCGTCACAAATTACACCAATTTCAGTTGCAAGCATCTGAATTTTGACTGCATGACCATTAGGATGCTGTGACGGTAATAAGCGTGGGGACTGGTCCTAAGTCACTTTTTCAATACTGTTGTAACTTCAAACAGTCACTAAATGAATGGCTGTAGGTAGAGGTCTACCTGTATTTCAGTCCATTAACTGGTTCTTAGTCAAGAGGCAAGATAAGATTGCACTTTCTTGCATCTTCATAAATGCTACATTATCTGTGCTTGCAATGAAAGTAGGAAATAAATGAAATGAGGAAAATAGAAGAGTTAGCCAACTTCATTTCTAGAGAAATAGTCTCAGCTGTGTGAATTAAAAGTGTTGATTTCTTATGTTTCCTGTTCTGTTTTGATATTTTTCAGGGGACACAATGTCTGGCTACAGTTAGATCACAGGGTTCTGGATCATGATTTTCCTAAAAAACCAGGTCCGGTAACTTTGTTTTTTGCAGTCAGGTAAGTATGGTTAGGCAATACAAAATAAATTTGCACCTCTGAAATTTCCACTTGTAATCAAAATGTTTTTTAAAATAATTAATGGGTTTTTGTTATTATCAATGACAAATAAGTTGTTTTTGTTAGTTGCACATGTCCGACCCATCGAGACCCCATGGACAGGCCTTCCTGTCCTCTACCATCCCCCGGAGTCCATTTAATCTCATACCAACTGCTTCAATGACTCCATCTAGCCACTCATTTTCTGTTGTCCTCTAAAAAAAGTTAACGGGATGACATTTGAATGAACATGTGTTTATCACATTTCCCCATGACTTCCAAACTAGTACTCTATGTCATCCCATGTTGTAATTTTTATATTTAAGCCTTAAGAAGATGACTCAGTATGCTACTGTTTTTACATTTGAAGTGTAGTTTAAAGAAAACCTTTGAAGGAACTTCCATATGTGTTGTGACTGCACATGTTTAGAGGGCTGGAGGTATTCTAAAATATCTCCCCCCAAACTCCATATTTTCAAGGTTCCTGCACAGGCAATAAAATATTAATATGATAGAAAATGAGCTATCAAATCTTCAGAATATAAGCCACCAAAAAAGCAATAAGGGAAGAAAAGTTACTTCAGCAAATACTGGTAAGGCAAGCTACTACATATATGCATCATCCCTGTCCACTGATGATATTACTTAGCTTGGCGGAAACATCTGCAGAAAGAGAAGCAAGCTTAGAACACCAGAATTCACATACTGAAATGAAATCAATGTTGATGTTAAGTTAATCTCTTAGAGTCATAGAATCATAAGGCTGGAAAGGACTTGGAGGTCTTTCAGTCCAAATCTCTGCCCAAGGCAAGAGTCCTTATTCCATCGTAGATAAATGGTTGTCTAATCTATACTCCAGTAATGGAGCATCTACAACTTTGAAAGGCAAGCTATTGCATTGATTAATCATTCTCACTGTCAGGAAATTCTTCCCTATTTCCAGCTTGGATCTCCGTCTGACAAGCTTTCGTCCATTGCTTCTTGTCCTGTTCTCAGATACTTTGGAGAACAAGTCAATTCTCTTTTCCCATCACAGCCCTTCAAGTGTTAGAAAATGGCTAGCGTGTCATCCCCTAAGCCAGAGGTGTCAAACTCGATTTCATTGAGGGCTGCATCAGGGTTGTGTTGGACCATGGGGGCATGACCAGGGTGGGCATGGCCAGCTCAACGTCACTCATAAAAACTCTGTTTTCGACCGCAACAGCTTCCTGCCATCAAAAATGGAGCTAGGGAAGGATGCATGCAGCCCTCCTGAGCTCTGTTTTCGCTGGCAGAGGCACTGCAGTCCGATCCTTCACTGTTTCCAGGGCAGGCCTGTGGGCCTAAGCACTCTGCAGGCCGGATTCAGCCTGCAGGCCTTGAGTTTGACACCCCTGTTCTAAGCCTTCTCTTTGCTAGGCTAAACCGAACAGCCAAGTCAACTAGACTCATTTAGCTTGTACTTTTTTTTAGGCATCAGTGTCTTTTTTGTTTTGTGGTGACCAAAACTGGATGCCGTCCAGTCTTGCAAATGTGGAATACTTGGAAGTCTTGGAGGAGAATATTTCATAATTGTGATATCATAATTAGGAAAGCACTTGGTTATATCCATTGGTGGCCTTAGAGTTTTTGTGGCCCTGGACAATTGTGCAATTCTTTTTATAACCTATCAGCACTGTCCCTGGTATATCTGATTTTATTCTAAGAATTCTCAATCTGTGGCATAGTCCTGAAAGAATGGTTATCAAATTTCATAAATGAAAGAAAAGAGGAAAGCAATAAATTATGTTCTTCAGTATTTATCTTCATGATTAGGACCTCATTGTATTTTTACATCTTCGTCTGCTACTGAAGAGAATACAAACTGACAAATTAATAACATGACAATACTTATAGACATGAAACTTTTTGAGATCTTTTAGATTAGGGGTGTCAAACACATGTCATCCCATTGTTGTCACATGACGTATCATGAGTTTTCCACCTTTGCTAAAATGGGGGTGGGTGTGGCCAGCATGTAACACATCTGGTCTGCAGGCTGTGAGTTTGACATTCCTGTTTTAGATGAAAACTCTTCCACGAGATCAGTTTCATCCAATGCCTTTCCAATGTTATTTTCAGTTGAGATCATTTCTTATCCAGCACCTTCAGCTATGAAAGAGAATAGATAACTTTTTTATAATTTTCACTTTTGAAAATGACTTCTCAGCAGGTGCAAGTAATAACAGTGCAGTGAATGGGAATTGCTACATACAAATTTGGATGTATATTTTGAATTTTATAGCCTAGAGTTCCTTTTTTTTTATTTGCAGAATTACCAAAATTGCCCTCCCTTTTGGGTACTGTTTTCTGTCCCCAATTTCAAATTAGCTGTCTCCTAAAGTCACCATAGGTCTAGTGGTATAAATCTCTGTGTAATTATTGTTTGAAAGTAAAGCGACTAGATAAGCAGATATAAACTCAACATCTGGATTTTCAGCTTGATAAGAACAGTGTCTTAAATAAGATAACTTACTGGAAAAACACTTGATGTCAGCATGATATATTGCCAAAATGTTTACAATTAGTACTCAGAATTTACCAAATGAAATAGCCTAATAGGTATGGCATCTTTCTAAATGTAGCTTGTCCCTTCTTTCTTCTATTTATACTTATCAATTATATCTCTGTTAAACATTTCAAAAATCAAATACTTAACCATATCAGAAAAAATGTATTTTGTAGGCAACTTCATTTCTTTCTCTTTTAAAAAAAATGTGTGCAATAGGTTCTTTCAGCTTGCAACTTTTATGGGTTCGTTGAAAAATACTCTTGGGGAGTTAATTTCTTTGCTGACTCAAACAAGAATCTGATTTTTACAATACGTAGGTTTGATAAACCTTCCCCTTTGTTTTACCTATTGCACAAATGTTTTCCAGAGTGCTGTTGGACTAATTCAACTCATTTGCAATGATTTTTAACAACATTGGTTTTTAACCTTTGATTTACAACTGCATGATTACAAGGCAGTAAAACGATTCCTTTTTCCCTTTCTTTTAGATTTTACATAGAAAGCATTTCGTTTCTGAAGGACAAGACCACAGTTGAACTCTTTTTCCTCAATGCAAAGTCCTGTGTGCAACAGGTAATTTGGCTCAGTTTTCCATATAACTGCAGATTATACTTCAAATGCTGTAAACATACAAGTAGTTGAATTATATGGATGCACTTCTAGATTTAAGTCCCCATCAACCAAAGGAAATGTACCATATTTTTCGGACTATAAGACGCACTAGAGTATAAGATGCACCAAGATTTTGAAGAGGTAAATTTTAAAAAAATTCTGGGAGGCGAAAAACAGTGAAAATAGGCATATATTTTTTTTGCAAAAAACGGGGTGTGCAGAGAGTTTGGAAGGCCTGCAGAGTGCTCCTGGGAACTTGGGAGGGCAAAACCACCCCCATTTTTGTGAAAAACGGGCCCGTTTTCACTTGTTTTTGCCCTCCCCAACCCCCAGGTACACTCTACAGCCTCCCAAACCCTCTGCATGCCTTGTTTTTTGCCAAATGAGGCCAAAAATGCTGTATTCAGTGTATAAAATGCACCCAGATTTTCACCCTCTTTTTTGGGGGGAAAAGATACTTCTTATACTCTGAAAAATATGGTAATTTTTTTCTTTCTCACACGTGTATGTATGTGCAAGCACACGTCAATTCTCAAATACAAAGAATGAGCAACAGGCTCCAAAATAGAGCAGGTGTCATCCATAATGAAGAAATAAGGCTGAGGAAAAGTTAAGTAAAGGAATATTTGGGGTGGAGAGGGATTGCTTTAAATGTGTACATAAAAGAAAACTGTGGAAGATTTGGCTTGAATAATAATTCCCTCATTGGAAAATAATGTATAAATAAAGCTCTCTTAAGAAACTTTATAAGCATACATCAAAATCACAACATCTATCGCTCTGTTCACCAGCATGACAAGAGAAGGGTTTTTTTTCATGTCAAATAAATGTCTTCAACATTGTGAAGTCATATTTCCAAAAATGGTAGTACAGAATAGTTTTACTTGAGGCAAATGAATTGTAAACTTATTTTCCTTCATTAGTTGTTGGCATATCCAGAACAAGGTAGAAAGTACAAATGACTTGTGAAAACAGGTGTATTTATTTGTGAGGGTGGGCAAAGAATATTTACATTTTTATGCAAGTATTCCTGGACTTATGATCATTTGTTTAGTGCCTCTCCCATGTCCAGAAGGCACTTACGTCCTGATTCTGAGCTGCTGCCACCTGACTGCTTTTCAGGAGCTGAGAAACTGGCCCGCATTTATGGCCATTTACCAATAGCAATAGCATTTAGACATATATTGCTTCACAGTGCTTTACAGCCCTCTCTAAATGGTTTAAAGAATCAGCATGTTACCCCCAACAGTCTGGATCCTCATTTTACAGACCTCGGTAGGATGGAAGGCTGAGTCAACCTTGAACCGATTAGAATCGAACTGACTGCCAAACTGTTGGCAGTCGGGAGTAAGCACAATTAGCTTACAATACTGCATTCTGCGCCACCACAGCTCTTAACTGCACCATCATTTCAGCATCCTGGGCCATATATTGTGATTTATTATTCTTTGCCACAAACAGGCATTTGCTTCTGATTTTCAGTTAATATGCCTTAGAGAAAACCATGGGTTCCCTTAGCAATTGTAATGTTGGCTTAATGACAATGGTGTTCACTTTACGACTACTGCATTTGCTTAACAACCATCACAAAAATATTTTTTTAAATCAGGTCCGTCATATGGGCTACCCACTTTACAACTGTCACAACATATGACCATGATGGGCAGCCATCTTTACACTTGTAAATCCAGGACTCCTTGTATATTCAGAATATAAACATTATATTGCTCCCATGTTGTTTTATAGTTTGGGATTGAGAGGAGCAGGTTATAACCACAGTGATCTTTAATACTACAAATATTGTAGAGAACCACTGTGAAAGTTTTAGCTGCTTTGTGAGTAGTTTGAATTGAGAACAGCATATTAGGTGTGTACTAATTAGTATCGGAATAAATGATGCCAGTTGTGGTTTCTTGTGGAACCAGCTAGTCAGCCCAAGGGAAGAATTCTGTCCCCAAACCCAGTTTTTCTAGGTACCTTTGAAAGCAGGTGGCAACTCCAAAAATGCAGTAAATGTATTTTTTAAAAGTATTTGCACTGTAACACGAAACTTCTTTTTGTTCATTCCCATGTCATTCAAACACAGAGACAGGGAGTGAGTTGATAAATAGTGAGATTGAAAGTAATCTAGTCTTGCTCCCTAAGGAATGAATTAGCATTCCTGACTCACTTCTCTGCAGTGTATGTAGTATTTTATCCACTAAGACGTTGATTGATTTTCAAGAGAAGAACCTTGCTGATCTGTAAGTTTCTGTAGATCGTCTAGCAAAGCCAATGGTAGCAGATTCTAATGTTAGAGATTAGGAACATCCAAGAGCCTTTACTATATTCAGACTGGCGAATCAGGGAATTGTTAGATCAAATAAAACACTGTTGAAAAGCCACAAATAGAATTAGCAAGTCTGTTATTGTAAGAATTATAATCAACTCCTCTGTTAATTTAGTTCATCCTCTGAGCTACTAGCCATAAGGACATCTTATTTTTCATAAATTAATTACCTACATAAATCTTTTGATCATTTTGATTGCTCCTTTCTGCTTATTACAGAGAAGGTGTGATACCTTTGTGGTTGACCACAAAGAATTCAATAACCTAAGTACTGTATGTTTGTGCCTTAAAATTATATAAATTTATGACTGTGGCAGTTTTATTTTTTCTATTCCCAATCATCATCAAAGGTGTTTGGTTTGGTTTGGTTTGGTTTGGTTTGGTTTATTGGATTTATATGCCGCCCTTCTCCCAAGGACTCAGGGTTGTGGTTCCAGACCTGATTATATTTCTAGACATTAAATGGAGGATATTATTGATCTTAAGCTAATCTTAGTAAATAACTCCCATTAGTGAAATCCCTTTGTAAAATATGATTGGGAGATGGGACTTTATACCCTAATGCATGGGTGTCAAAATGGCGGCCTGTGGGCCGGATGCATCATGAGTTAGCCATGCCCACCTCTGGTTTAGTGAAGTGGGAGGAAGTCATGATATGTCATGTGATGACAACATGATGTTGCAAGTTTGACACCCATGCCCTAATGCATTTCATTTGACATTTAATGACACTGAACATTTAGATAGAAAGAAATTTTTATTCGGCCTACTTTCACTAGTCTGAATGAAATGTTATATATTAGTTGTTCATAGTTCATATCTAAGTGATAATGGCATATATAGTAAAAAAAAGGAATAACCAGTACCAATATAGAACATTTAATGGATTCAGCTGTTTATCCTGCTCTGTTGTGAAAATTTTCTGCTTATTCTCCTCCCCCATGAACACATATTTTGAATTTAGTCAATGGCATCTTCCCAAGAGGACTTCTCTTCTTTTCCCATGACTGCTGAAGTTTACTCAAGAATTCATATTTATGTATTTATTGTCCAACATATCTGCATTAGACGAGATGCAAATGACACAGAAAACAGAAAATATATCTATATTGCAGTAATCTCAGTCATTCCTATCAATTTCAATTTTGAGGATTACTTCAATTCTACCACTTCTTTTATGTAGCAGAAATTTGTAATACTTCTAAGCTTAATAATAAGTGAAAGTAATCAATAATATATTCTCACATGTACAGCTTAGCTAAAGAATTAAAGTGAAAGGGCTGTCCCAATCAGAAACTTCATAAAGCTCCTACAAATGTTGTAGCTTAGAGTGGAGAAGCTTAGAGAGTGGGGTGTGGTACAGAAACTTGGCTAGATCAATAATTCTATGAGTTACTGAACATTTATTAACCGTGGAACTATTTCAGTAAAGTAATAATTGACTGAAGTGTCAAATGAACATGTGTTCTTCAGAATTGGAGCCAAGAAGGGTATTTCATGGACCGGAAAATAGAATAACATCATATAAAAATATTCTGTAATTTGATTTCAAGGGATGACTACTTTTCTTCATCTTGTACCACTTGTCCACAGTTCCACCCTCTTGCCTATACCAGCATATTATTTTCATGAAGTCCCAGTCATGAGCCCTAGAAAGCCACTATCAATCAGTACTGATAATACTAAAATAGGTGGATCAGGGATCTGACTCAGTATCAGACATCTTTCTACATTCCTAGATAATAGAGTGCGTTTGAACACAGTTTATTTTTGTTCTTACAGAATATACATTTATCAGCTGCTTATTATGCCCTTCTTAAAAGTGCTGATTGGACTTATAATGATAACTGAACTATGTTGTCAGAAAAAAAACCCTCCTTTTCCTGTTAAAAGTATCCTAAATTAGACAATTTTAGACAAATATGTGGCATAGCTCCAGTGGTGAAATTCAAATTTATTTACTGCCGGTTCTGTGGGCGTAGCTTGGTAGACATGGCAGGGAAAGGATACTGCAAAATCCCCATTCCTTCCCCACTCCTGGAGCCAGCCAGAGGTGGTATTTGCCGGTTCTCCAAACTACTCAAAATTTCAACTACCAGTTGTCCAGAACCTGTCAAAACCTGCTGAATTTCACCCCTGCATGTGTGAGGATTATACTTGAAATAAAAGCCTGTACTTCAGAGGTAAGGAATCTGTGGTCTCCCGATACAGATAGTCCTCAACTTGTGACTACAATTAAGTCCAAAATTTCTGTTGCTAAGTCTGTGCCACAAGGCTTAATTTTATGTCACTGGCTAGATCTTACTGAGTCACAGTTTCTGTCACTTCTGAGTGTTGGCTATTGCTTACTCACTAGGAATTATAAATAGAGGTAGTCCTCAACTTATAATCATTCGTTTAATGCCCATTTGAAGTTACAATAGCACTGACTGGTTTTCATATGTACGACCATAATAGCATCCTTATGGTCACATGATCAAAATTTGGACACTTGACAACCGGTATGTGACAGTTGCAGTGACCTGAGGTCATGTGATCACTTTTTGCGATCTTCTGACAAGCAAAGTCATGGGGAAAGCCAAATTCACTTACTAACTTGACAACTGCGCTCATTCACTTGACAATTGTGGCA